ACTGAGCTCAGGGCATCTCTAAAGCCAGAGTTGCGAGGATGTCTCAGGCGACAGAGGCCTGACCACCTCAGCGCAAGGCATCTCGAATCCAGAGTTGCGAGGATGCGTCACGCGAAAATAGTCAGACCACCATGTGACACGGCATCTCGGAGGTCAGCGCTGCGACAATGCCTCAAACCAAACTGGCCTCACCACAATATAGCACGGCATCTCCGAGGCCAGACCCTGATTGCCGCGGGAAGCTTTGGGACACACCCCCAGGCCCCGAAGGTCACGAAGCGCTAAAGGCCCGTGTAGTAGGGAGCCCTGAAAATTCCGAGAACGCATGTGCGTGCATGTGCATCGGCATGTGCGAGCATGTGCGGGCGCGGGAATTCAGCGCATGTGCGTGCACGTGCGGGCCCGCGCTGTCGTCCGCAGGTGAGGGCCACATGCGAGTGCGTGCATGTGCCACTGACCGATCTGCGAGTTCCGCACATGTTCCGCATGTGCGGGCATGTGCGTGCATGTGCATCGGCATGTGCGAGCATGTGCGGGCGCGGGGTTCAGCGCATGTGCGTGTATGTGCGATTGACCGATCTGCGACGTTCGCACAAGTTCCGCATGTGCGGGCATGTGCGTCGGCATGCGCGGGCATGTGCGTTACAATGTATGCAGCAAAACCCAATGCACATAACCCCGCACATGCCCGCGCACGTGCGCACAATAAGACATCCATCCAAAAGCGCCCGCACATGCCGGGCACATGCCTGGCACATGCTGCGCACATGCACGCACATGCCCGCGCAAAAACGGCCGCACATACACCCACCCAGGGGTAAAGAAGTGAGTGCGGTGTAACCTCTTGGGCCGTCACGACCGCTAGTAGAACTGAAAAAGCGAAACTCCCAGAAATATATGTCTTACGATCGGGAATGCTTGATCTTTGCCTTTGGAGGGCCTTCTCAGCGGCCTCTTGGACAGTCGTAGCGGGATCCTTTTGGGCCTTTTGTGGCCCGTCGGGGAGCCCATTTCGGCTGTCCCAAGCCCCTCTTGGCATGTCATGGGTAGCTGAGCCGTCTTGGGGCTCTCATGGAGCCCTCTCCGACCATGTAGGGATCCTCTGGTGGCTCCCTCGGGCCCCCTGAGGACTCTCTCGGGCTGTTTTGAAGCTCTCTTGTGCTGCTCGACGCTCTCTAGAGGCTTTCTTGGAGCCCTCTTGGGGGCCTCGTGGGCCGTGTGGCGCCGATTTGGGGAGGCTGCACCCAGGAGCCTTCTCAGCGGCCTCTTGGGGACCCTCTGGGAGCCCAGTTCGGCCGTTCTGGGTCCCTCTTCGCCCGTCATGGGGACCTGAGCCCGTCTTGGGGCCCTCGGGGGGCCCTCTCCGACCATGTAGGGAGCCTTCGGTGGCCCCCTCTGGGTTCCTGGGTACTCTCTTGGGCCGTGTTGGAGCTCTCTTATGCTGCTCGAGGCTCTCTTCAGGCCGTCTGGGGGCCCTCTTGGGGGCCTCTTGGGCCGTCTGGGGCTCATTTTTGGGGAGCATCTGGGGCCGTCGCGGCCGCTGGTAGGACTGAAAAGCAAACATCCAGGAAATACACGTTTTTCAACCGGAAATGTTTGATGTTTGCCCTTGGGGGGCTTTCTCGGCGGCCTCTTGGACCGTCTTGAATGCCTTTGTGGCCGTCTAGGAGCAGTCTTGGGCTGTCTTCGAGCGCTCGTGGCCCGTCCGAAGCCATCTCAGTGCGCTCTTCAGCCACGTTCCAGACAACCTCGGGCGCTTTGGGCGCCTCTTGGGGCAGCTGGGGAGCCTCCAGGGGGGTCTGGGACCCCTTCTGAAGCCTCTTGGAGCCCTCAAGGCCCCCCCGGCCCCCCATGCGAACCAGGGGTAGCAGTTCTGGGCCCTCCCCTGGCCTACTCCGATATATATATATATATATATATATATATATATGTGTGTGTGTGTGTGTGTGGGTGTGTGTGTGTGTGTGTGTGTGTGTGTGTGTGTGTGTGTGTGTGAGTGTGTGTGTGTGTGTGTGTGTGTGTGGTGTGTGTGTGTGTGTGTGTGTGTTGTGTGTGTGTGTGTGTGTGTGTGTGTGTGTGTGTGTGTGTGTGTGTGTGTGTGTGTGTGTGTGTGTGTGTGTGTGTGTGTGTGTGTGTGTGTGTGTGTGTGTGTGTGTGTGTGGTGTGTGTGTGTGTGTGTGTGTGTGTGTGTGTGTGTGTGTGTGTGTGTGTGTGTGTGTGTGTGTGTGTGTGTGTGTGTGTGTGTGTGTGTGTGTGTGTGTGTGTGTGTGTGTGTTGTGTGTGTGTGTGTGTGTGTGTGTGGTGTGTGTGTGTGTGTGTGTGTGTGTGTGTGTGTGTGTGTGTGTGTGTGTGTGTGTGTGTGTGTGTTGTGTGTGTGTGTGTGTGTGTGTGTGTGTGTGTGTGTGTGTGTGTGTGTGTGTGTGTGTGTGTGTGTGTGTGTGTGTGTGTGTGTGTGTGTGTGTTGTGTGTGTGTGTGTGTGTGTGTGTGTGTGTGTGTGTGTGTGTGTGTGTGGTGTGTGTGTGTGTGTGTGTGTGGTGTGTGTGTGTGTGTGTGTGTGTGTGTGTGTGTGTATGTGTGTGTGTGTGTGTGTGTGTGTGTGTGTGTGTGTGTGTGTGTGTGTGTGTGTGTGTGTGTGTGTGTGTGTGTGTGTGTGTGTGTGTGGTGTGTGTGTGTGTGTGTGTGTGTGTGTGTTATGGGGGGGGGGGGGGGGGGGGGGGGGGGGGGGCGTGCGTGCGTGTGCGTGCGTGCGTGCGTGCGTCGTGCGTGCGTGCGTGCGTGCGTGCGTGCGTGCGTGCGTGCGTGCGTGCGTGCGTGCGTGCGTGCGTGCGTGCGTGCGTGCGTGCGTGCGAGTGTGTGTGCGTGTGTGTGTGTGTGTGCCACCGCGAAGCCCAAATGAACGCCCGCTGACCTCTCCACAGAAAAGAAACATGGAGAAGCACTGAGGGCAGACCGCGCAATCAGCGGCCGTCAGGAACGTTCCATGCTCGTGCACCCTGTCTGCCCACCGCTGCGCTCAGAGGAGGTCGTCTTATCGAGGATTCGGGTGCCAAACGTCTGCGAGATGAGGCCATGGCACCACGTCGACGTGATACCACAACGCCGCGACACCACGAAAATGCACTTTCAATGCATCCGCACTTGAAACTCACTCAAGCCACAATTCTGCCCAAACTGATTCAGCAGCGATCCCCAAGTGGTTCGCAATACATCCACGATCCGTCCACAATCGCTCCCAAATCGAATCAATATCGTTGACACTGGCTTCTCACCCGGGCAAACAAAAAAGAAGGGACTCGCGATTTGCTTAAACTGCGACTTCACACCACAATGGCACAACAACACCGTGATACCCCGGCACCCTGCCCCAACGGCAGTGCGGCGCGGTGACACCGCAACACCGCCAAGCTGCGACACCGCGACGACGCCATCATTAGGGCCACACCGCGACACCGCTGCATCACGTCGTCGCCAAACCGCGCCACGGCGTCGCTCCGCCACGCCACCCGTCGACAGGGGCAGCAGCAGGAGCAGCAGCAACCGCAGGAGCAGTGGGCTCCGCAGGCCCGAGCGCCCTTCACACCGGAGGGCGCCCGCCTCGCGCGGCGCCAGGGCATAGGAGCAGATATGTGCACCAGCGGGCTGCCCCCTGAGGAGGTCCCTGCAGCCTGCCCCGCGGGTCCCGCAGAGGTCCCGCAGAGGTCCCTCGAGCCTGCCGGCGGCCCCCAGAGAGGTGCCAGGGGACAGCTGGTGCCAGGGGCGTCTGGAGACTTCGAGGGGAGACGTCTTCGCTGTCGTTTTGGAGGCTTCGACGGGGGAGGAGGGGGTAGGGGCCCACGGCATCATTCTGCTTTCTATTGTTTGGGCGGGAGGGGGGACTTCGAGGGGGGAGGAGGGGGGAGGAGGGGGGAAAGGCCCCCGGCCTCACTCTGCTCTTTGCTTCTTCTGCTCGCACATCATTCTCCCGACCAAGCACCCTGTTCCTGCCTGTTCCGAAATTTCTGTCCGTCGCTCTGAGACGCCACGGACCCCATGCTTCGCACATCAGTCCAGCGTGACATGGCCGCCGAGGCAAGTGCAGCAAAGGTAATCAGGTCCCCGACCAGATATTCGGAACCTAGGGCTCGGCCTCGCGAAACCCTGGGAGGCGTCTCTGGAGAGGCAGATGCCCCAGACCACTCCGTCGTCCTCGCCATTCGACCTCGTGAGTCCACAGCGTGGCTCCCCAGAGGTCTGGGCCCCCTCCCGGGGACCAGCCTTTCATCCTGGGATGTTTGCTTCACGGTCCCGGGGCCCCGAGGCCCCGAGGCCCAGCAGGGCCCCCCGGAGGCCGAAAAGGCAACACGACTCATGTCGTTCTGTCTCCGCGATGCAAACATGTCAGGGTCCAGGGGTCAAGAGTCGACCCCTGGATCTGTTCTGGTGTTCAGAAATTGGGAAAAGCGCCCAACAACGCGACGCGACGCGACGCGACCGTCGAACGCCCCCAGGAGAGGGACCCCCCTCGATGCTCTCGATAGCGGGACCACACGTTCCTGGGCAGGGTGGGCTATCAGGCCCCCACCGGCAATGAATGGGCGATTGGGGGTCGATGCTTCCCCCTCTGAACCTACCCCACAATAACATCATGCTGCCCCCCAACGTCAGCAGGAACAGCCCCCCTGGGAGAAGGCCCCCCCCCCCCGCCCCCCCGGGATGTCTCGGCCTGCCCCTCCCCCCCCTGGGATACCTCGTCCTGGTCACCACACCGTCTGGGACCCCCCGGACTGCTGTCCGACCCTTGTCCGACGGGGAAAGGGAGAGGGACCCCCCCACGTCACGCTGCCCCCTGACGTCAGCAGGGCCCCCCCCCCCCCGGGCCGCCTCGGCCACACGCCGCCCCCGGACCGCCCCAAAGCCCTCGACACGCGACGCGACGCGGCCGTCGCAGGCCTCCGACGGAGAGGGACCCCGCTCCCCCCCAGGGCGGCGGAGGAGGAGGCGGAGGAGGAGCTGCCTCGGCCTGCCCCCTCGACCGGCTGCGGCCCCGCGGCGCGGCGGGCGCGGGCGAGGGCTCCCGCGGCGCGGCCGGCGCGCCGCGGCCCGCCGCCTCCGCCGCCTCCGCGGAGCGCGAGCGCCGGCCGCTCCTCTCGCGGCGGCGCCGCCTGCGGCCGGCCGAGGGGCTCCCGCCGCGGTCGCCGCGCCTGCCGCCGTGCCTGCCGAGGGGGAGGCGCGCGCGCCGCCGCTCGGGGCAGGAGGTCGGCCGCAGGCTGGAGCTGCCCCTGGGGGTTCTGGCTCGTCGGAGCTGCGCAGGAGGTGTGGAGCGCGGGGCAGATGTGCAGGCGCCGTGAGCTCGACACATCGGAACCCTTGTTAGGGCGCGTGGATCTGTTGGGTAGTCGATGCTCTACTCGACCCGTGGTCACCCTTTTTGACGCTTTAAGGCCCTCCAGGGGACCCTTTCGATGATCTTCAGAACGTGTGTGAGTGCCAACGCGTGCTGGTCCAGCGAAGCCCTTCCTTACGGCGAGAAGGTGGTGTAACAATGGCCAGCACATGCCGAGCGGAGTAATCACGCATGAGGCTTACACACACCTTGAGGATCATCGACCGCTGCTGGGCCCTGGGGCCGCCCAAATAACGACTTCGGGACGAGAGAAGACGGCTGCCGGCCAGGGGGCTGGACCTCTGGGGGTAGAGGCCTCCCAGATGGGGTCGGAGGATCGCGCCGCATCGCCGATGCATCGGCGATGCATCGACGACGTCGGCGACGCATCGGCGATACGGGTGTGGAGAAAATCGGGCTCCACATCGAGCCGCACCACCGATTCATCGCCGATGCGGCGCGATCTTCCGACCCCGTCTGCTCCGACCTTGTCTGGGAAGCCAAGATCGGCTACACGCAAGAGTGACCCTGGGTAAGAGTGACCTTTGGTGCGCGGCTTGTTGGGGGCCGCGGGGGGGCCAAACACAAGCGCGCAAGACGCCACTGCCGCCTCGCGTTCGGCGATCGGGGACCACAATGGGCCCGCACCAAAGGTCACTCCGGCGAAGGGTCACTCTTGCGTCTAGCCGACAAAGAGGGGGAGGGGTGCTCTTGGGGGGGGGAGGGGGGGGGGCACTTCTCGGCCCTCCGAGGGGGTCCCTGCCGCCCTCGCACGCTGCGGGCGAGGCCACGGCGGACGGCCCACTGCGCCATCCTTTGGCCCTCTGGGGCCCCCTGCCGGTCCAGGACGGCCCTGGCTCGGCGCGGCTGCAGGGCAACGTGAGGAGGGGGGACCGGCTCGGGTGGGGAAGCATCGACCTGGCATCGGCGATAGCCCCCGATGGCGAATCCGCACGTGCCTGGGCGGGGTGGGCCATCGGGCCCCTGTCGGCGATCAGTGGGCGATCGGGTGTCGATGCGTCCCCCCCCCCCCTGAGCCTAGCCCCGCCGAACGTTGCCTATGAACGGTGGCGGTACCAATGTGCCCTCTGCGGAAGCGAGGTGGCGGATCCGCGCGGCAGCGCGACGGGATGATCTAGCCTCGGCTATCGGCCGAGAGCGCCCCCCAGCAAGAGTGATCTTTGGTGCGCGGGCGCCGGGGCCGTCGGAAGCGCGACTGCTCGGGTGTTGCTAGAAGTGCCCCTGGCCCAAGGTGCCCCTAGGATTTCCACGGAGGCCCCCACGGCCTCCAGAGCACCCCTCACGAGGCCGAGAGGGCCCCGGAGGCTCCGAAATGGAGCGAAAAGCTGGGGGCACCGCGGGCCGGCCCCGGGAACGGGCCAAGACCTCTGGGGGGCAACGCCCCTGCAGAAGCACGGCGGCGGAGGTCTGGGGCCACCCGACTTCGCGCTCCCGCGCCGTGGGGGCACCTTCGCGCTCCAGGCTACACCTTGCGCCCCCCTGCAGGGGGACGCGGGCACTCCGTCGACCAGCATCCTCAGCCGACGGCGCGGTCGGGGGGTGCACGTTGCACACGCAGCGTACACGTCCCGGGGGCAGCCCACGTTGGCCAGGACTCCTCGGAGCAGCCCAGGGCGGTGCTGCAGCGCCCCGCGCCGCCCCCGGCGGCGCCACCGGAGCGCCCGTGGCCAGGGGGCTGAAAACCTCCTCGGGTTGCCCAGGTGCCCCTCCTATGGACAGAATGGAGAGCGCCTGTCGCTCTGGGTAGACTTGGAGTGTCAAGGGCGCGCTATGTATGATCGGGTAGTTCCGAGCGCACGCGATCAGGCGACCGACCAATGCGATCGATAGACCGAGCGACGCGATCAAACGCTCGACTCGATCGGGCCGTCGGCCGACGCCGTCAACATATCGCTCGGTGCGACTGGCCGGTGCCGCGCCTCCGCCGGCTCCTGCTCCTGGAGCGGTCGCCATCTCGCCTCCGGGGTCCCATCGCGGCCCCCCGCGCGGGGGCGAGGGCGTGCCTTGGCCGAGACGGCTGCAGTGAGGGCCTCCCGAAAGGGGCCCGAGCACACGGGGCCAGAGGATCACGCCGCATTGCAGATGCATCGGCGGTGCGGCGCGGCCTTCTGGCCCC